CAAATATTTTTCCGATGTGTTTTGGATATTCCTTCTCTAATAAAAAGAGATACCATTTTGTTTTCGTTTGCATAAGAAAGAATATCAAGCATTTTTCTTTTTTAAATTCAATTAGCCACAATAAAGAAGGAACGTTGCAATGCTACGTGCTACTTTAACGACGTCTCTAGAGTAACTGAATGACTGTTCATATAGCAATCACAGGTATTAGTCTCATACAACAACGTCCCCTATAGTTCGTTGCGATCGCGAATTGTTTTTGGAGTTGACTGATTCAGGATTTGTGAGAAGGATTGTATTAAATCAGTTACGGAAAAAGATAGGACATTTTCTGTTGGGAAATGTGAACTACCCGTTACGGGATAAGAAAGTGTTAATTAGTTCTGATATTATCGAATGGAAAATCGTCTGTTTCAAAATAACTGGAATTTCATTTGCAACACTCTGATACAATATGAAGGAGGCATGGCTTTTTAAAAAAAAATTTTAGTTCAGAATAATGTCTATTTTGCATCTCAGTAAAATTTTGTTATACAATTCCAAAAAATCAGACTTAAGTTACACCAATTTATTCAATTTTGATTTCTCTCATCTCTCTTTCTAATGCTTCTTTTAGAGGATTTTGAATAGTTTTGGCGATGATACGCTGAAAGAAAAGCGAAAATCTAGTAGTAAGTTCTCCTAAAGCCCAACCAAGGTAGCTAGCGCCAGAGATCTCTATTTGTGGATTCTTGAATTTTTTGATCACGAATCTTTTAAGGGTTGGATAGGTGACTTTTCCTTTTTTCTTTTTGAGTACTACTTTATAATCTGCTTCAAAGTCATGAGAAATAAAAACCACATTTCCTTCCGCATTTGATTTCTTCTTTGTGGTCCATGTGTAACGACCCTGTGAAGAAAGAAACAGTTTAAGTTTATTTCTGCATCATAGGATTTAAAATTTTTCATGTTGGTGAAAAGGTTTTTTATTCGTATTCTCGGAAACTGGCTACTGTGGTTAAAGAGAACTGTCTTACATATACTGACTGCATTCTGTATTATTTTAAAGCAATTTTTAATTCATTAATCTAAAAATAAATAATTTTTAATAATAATAGTTAATTAAAACAGAAAGTTTTTATTTGAAAATTTGATTTCTTTAAGTTTGTTTGGTAAACCATAATTAAACCATTATTTTTATTGTACAGATTATTTGTTTTCTCAAATCGATGCAGGTATATGGACAAATAGTGAGCAAAATAAAAAACATACATCTTAATAAACTTTTGATTTAGTGATCGAATTTCTAAGCTGTAATCTTAATATTTTGAGAGATTAAATTTAATATTTTTATAATTTTTGAAAAGGAAATTTTAAGTTACGAAATCAGACACAAAAGCGTAGCTTCTCTGAATCTCTATTTTTGATTAATTTTTTTTTGTCAAATGCTGTTCTTTCACATGCTTAAAGTTTAGATAAAATAATCATATGAAGTTAAAAAAAAAATAATTTAATGAATAATTATTAATAAATAAAAGAATTATGCTTTTTTTCCTTTTATGTTTCAACTGTTAATATAGATCTCGAAATCAAAATGTTAATATTGATCTTGATTGGCTGTTCAATGTCTATTCAGTCATCAAAAGAATTTACACAGAATGTGTGTGAGCTGCATTTAAATATGTCTGCGAAATTGTGCACCGAGCAGTTCAGGATTAACAATTAAAGATGTTCAAGATGAAAGCGCAATAAAGTTTATTTTCCAAAAAAATTAGACAACAACCATTTTGACAATGGGAATCCAATGTATTAATTTTTTTTTAATGGCGGGCACTTGGGTTTGTCCCATTGGCCCCAGAAATGCCAGAACTGCTACTCTCTTCTCGTTACCCTGTGGGCACCTGTGGCGAAGCCACGGCTGCGGAGCAGCGTCGCCCACGTCACCCAACCACAAACGCGTTCATATGGCGGGTCACATTCACACACAAAGAGGAAAGGACATAGAACACAGAGAGAAAGAAACATCCAGTCTCTGAGCAGGATTCGACACCGCGGCCAATGGCTTCGCATCGCAGTCAGACACGCTAACCACTCGGCCACCTGATCGGCCTAATGTATTAATATTATTGATATCATTTTGTCTGTGCGTTCTCTATTGAGCAAAACACTATAAACTGAGTTTGAAACAACTGCTCCTTGGTAAAGATTAAGATGTTGAAAAATAGGGAATTAGTAGGATACAGGCATTAATAGTTTAGTAATTATAGCAAAAAAAATGGCGTTTCTTCAGATAAACAAAAAGCTTTGTATTGTTATTGAAAATGATACCTGAAAACTCCTCATCCTCCCCTGTGCTCTTCCTCCTTTTTTGATGGAAGTAGAGATAATTTCAAGAAGATAGCTGCTTTTCTTCTAAGCGGGAATGTGAAGTTTCCGTTGTAATTTTTACGCTGAGTAGAATGAGAGAAATTTCAAGACTATCGGAATAATGTTTTAGAAGTTATAATGGGTTTTTGTACAAAAAGTAGTAATTTTTATTTGTACCTATATATGCATCTGATAGTACTATCTAAAAAAAAATGAGACATTCATTCAATTGGTATACACATGTTTCTACGGAATTTAAACTTATATTTACTCAATATTTGAAACAGAGAACTTTTAACTTTTCTACAGTTTCATCCATTTCAACAGGTGTTCTGACATCAGGGATTCGCAGACGATAAGAACAGCTTTTCGTGTGTTACAAATTAGTATTGCAGAAATAATATGCTTAAGTGAATTTCACCCCTTCACGGTTTTCTAATAAATAAATTGAAGCGAAAGTGATTGTTTACCGTAATCGCCATAACAAAACATTGATAAACATGGGATATTAAAGTTTATTCAATGAACAAGATATGTATTATTAAATTTTTTATACCCGTCTTAAGGGGTCCCGCAGAAGGCTTAGCTCAAAAAATCGCATGGGGGTCACATGAATGTAGCAACAGGGATTAAAAAAATTTCCAAGGGGAAAAAAAAAGATCTTGTACTTTTTATATAAAAGCGAAACATCAATTTGAGATATTTAGCTCAAGTCTGATTGAGCGACCTTATGAGTTTGCGCAATACCTAAAAGTAGTTACCGTGATGAACAGTTTTGCTGCTCAAAGTATTCAGTGTTACATTAATTAAGACGCTAACTAACCATTAGAAAAGAAAATTGAAATATTATTTTTGAGAGAGAACTTACTTCGATAAATTGAACTTACTTTTAATTCATCGGTAGTAATTTTGCCTATAATGGTAATACTAGCGCCATCGCAGGTGACTTTCGTTTCACCAAGTCTAGTTATGTTAGACAAGCCCCAAAGACGACCGTCATTCAATTCAACAAAAGTTGATCTTGGGGGCAAACGCATAGGGTCTGGAAGTTCATTCCTGGCCTTCTCGAACACTTGATCCAAGTATTCATTCACATCTGTTTTCACACAGTCAGCACCAGTACCATGCTCGACTTCATTGCCGTCTTCATCAGAAAAACGACTTATAAAACCACATTCACCTGTAAAAAAGTAGAACGACATCGCGCAATTCATATACTGGGGTATATTTTTTATATTTAAATTTTTTTAAGTGTGAGTTTTTCTATCATGCGTTTACTTTATTTTTTTTAATAAAAAGCTATTGTCCTCCTACGTTAAATTACAGGGAAATTGTTGATAAATGTTCTCTGTAGGAAATGTGTTAAAACTTGACAGAAATCGTTTATTCTTTTCTACCTTAATTTTTGCTCATATTTTTACTACAGTAATTCTAATTTCATACATTATATACAATAATTTTCCACAGTAATCTAAACAGTTTATAAAATTAACTATCCTATATGGTGGTTTTGTAGTCAAAGTTGTTTTTTCCCTATCATTTAGTGCTGCCATCTGTCGACGAATAAGAGAGTTGCATATTTGTTGTCACCAATTAAAAAGAGAATGCGAATGAGCAATTCTGCTATTTCGAATGGATTTGAACTAGACACTTTTGTGTCTATCACCTGAGGCTTTAACCACCATGGAAAAAAGTGTACCACCTCAAATTGAGTTTGGAATCCTTACACAAAACGTTTGAAAATCAACTAATTAAAGTAATTTATTTCGCTTTGACAAAATATTGAGTCCCGTTTTGCTTATGAAATACTTTTAGTTTAGTATGAATTCAACTATAAAAAATTATTTTTTTAATGAATTAATTTTTAATTCTAGTATTTTTTCATCATAACGGGAATTGTTTCAGTTTCCGCGTAATCGTAATTTTTTTTTTATCAAGTTAAATCAGTTCATAAAAATATGTTTAATTGCACTAGGCGTTTTCTTACATAGCTAGTCGTTTAAATTAACAGTTAGTTCTGCTAACTTTCTGAAGTTTATCATAATTATGAGAACTGGTCTTTTTTATCTAAAGAATAATTTGACCGTATAAATAAATAGCCAAAATTCTCCGAATTTTACACCAAATTTTCTTTTATAGTAAATTCAATCATTAGTATATTTATGAAGATCTTTGAAAATGCACAATATTTTTTAATTAATAACGCTAGCTATCGAAATTTGTGTGACTTAAGAGTTGAATGGAGATTTTAGTGCACTTTATTTGAATTTTTGAATTTGTTTCAGAGCAGTGGATTTTATGTATTTCCGGTTATATGTATGCGCTCTTTCTGAATTTCTGTTTGCACCTTAGCGCTCTATATTTCTAAAGAAGTAAAAAAGAAATTTAAGTCTGACCTTTCTTTTTAGAGGACGTACTGGCTGTGAGGATAAGATCAAAAATTTCGAATTACAAATCATGCAATTTCGCTATCTAACTATCAATGCAAAAAGAAAAAGAGAAATGAAAAATGCTAATGTTATCAATTTGCAGTTAGAGAAATTTGCTTTATTCATTATTTCTAGAATTTTGCTCTTTGAATATAACGTTTGTGTGGATAGTAGTTATCGACAATGTCAACCTTCATCTATGCTTGTGCTATGCTACCCTTCCATATTAGGAGTTAACACGTTTTATATACTAGTGAACTGGAATTATATTTCTGTAGTAGTAGATACACTACAATGTTTTTTTGAGTCATGGGTGTAGACCGAAAAAAAAATGTAACGAACCATATACCTATTTATCAAGATATGGCGATTTAAAAGGTAAGCAATCAATATTTCCCCGGATGTTGTCTTTCCTGAGATAGTGAACTTGTAAAGGGAAAGCTACTTTTACGGTCCTGCGATACTCAGCTTTCTCAGGGACTAAGTTGTTTGACTTATTTAAAATTTCTCCTTAACGCAACATATTAGTTTAAATATTACTCGTGATACAAAGTTGTATTAACTTAATTTTTATTAAAGACGGTAAATTAAGAAAAAAATGTCTTGATATGTATAAAACAATTTAATTATCTATATTGTAAATTTTGTTCACTCAGAAAGAAAAGTAAAAATTTAATAACTCTTAATTTAACAGTCGAAAATGGAGTCCTAAGACTTAATTCTAATAATTCAAGTAGTACATCGCAACTATGTCAATTAATTAGAGTTATTTATTGCTTAAATTACAGAAATTAGGAACAAGTACTTTCAGTAAATAAGTTTAATGTTAGATTCGGATTTATAGCTTTTGAAATGAGGGAGAAAATGGAGGACATTCGAGAAAAGAAATCGTCAATAGTTTAGGAATGTTTTTTAAAGTCAGTCCTTTATCTTATTTTTTAAAAATAAAAACAATTAATGTTATTCTTACATTTATTGTATTTTACCATAACTTTCGAATTTAATTTTTAAGCAAATTAAAAATTTTATCTCAGTACTTTTAAATTCAGATTCTTGAAACTATTTCCCTTAAAATACATTTTAATCGTTATTATTATTTTATTTTATAATAATCAGCAAATTTGAATCAAGAGATAAAAATGTTTCCATCTCGTTAAAATAAGCAATTTAAGAGACAAAGGAATTTTAAAAGATCGATATCGTGTAGCTTCTGGGAAATGAAAATTCAAAAAAGGGGTTTTAATTTTAAAAAAAAAAAAATAGTTTCTTTAATTTTTTTTATACTATTAAAAAGGTGTATTCTTAAACTGAAATTGATCATTGAAAATCAAATAAATAACGCAATGTAAAGATTTACTTATTGTAAGGTTAAACTATCAAAAAATAATAAATAATAACAAAAAAGTCATGAAATCATTTTTATGTAAAAGAGTTATGCACTTACACAAATTATTTTATTCTTAAATTTGATTAAAAGCATCTTTAAGGAGTACTTATTCATTTTCCCCTAAAAACTAGAATATCCTCACATTCCATTTCTGTATTTTGTTAATTTGAAAATTAAATTCTTCAGAAAAGTATTTCTTTATTCAGAAAAGTGATCTGCCCCTCGTTTTAGGACAAACTTATTAACATATTTAAATTGTACTACCTAGATCATCGTTTCCTCATCATCAACTAAGTACCTGAATATGTTCTACGTCTCATTTCAGGACAAACGTGTTAACATATTTAAACTATTACTTAGATCATCGTTTCCTCATCATCAACTTAGTACAACTTAGACATGTTCTGCGTCTCATTTTAGGATAAACTTATTTACATATTTAAACTGTACTACTTAGATAATAGTTTCCTCATCACCAACTGAATATGTTCTGTATCTAACTTTAGGATAAACTTATTAACATATTTAAACTGTACTACTTAGATCATCGTTTCCTCATCACCAACTGAATATGTTCTGTGTCTCACTTCAGGACAAACTTATTAACATACTCAAATTGTACTACCTAGATCATCGTTTCCTCATCATCAACTTAGTATCTGAATATGTTCTACCTCTCATTTCAGGACAAACTTGTTAACATATTTAAACTATACTACTTAGATCATCGTTTCCTCATCATCAACTTAGTACCTGAATATTTAAATTAGATCAAAAAGCACTCGGTGTGATTTTTTTTTCTTTATTTAATGTAACCAGGAATATATGTAAAAAAAATAAAGACTTACAGTAGTAAAGTATAACAGTCAAAACACTGAATATCAGAAGCGTCTTCATGGTCTAAATGTGGTGTAGCTGAAAGAGAAAATCAGTCATTTTCTTTGGTAAATATTTAAGGAAGATGGAAACTTTAAAACAGTTGAATATTAATTCACATGTTAAATTTACAAATATTCTGAGAGTAACATCTTTTTCACAATTATAATAATGTGAGAGAGATAAAGCTTGTTCAAATATTATGTTATTTTTCATAGAATACGTAAAGAGAATCAAAAGATGTTTAAAGTCTATATTCAGCTACTCATCTCTATTCCAATTATTATTGAGATTACGAAGTTATAACAGATCAAGATGTATTACAGCCACAAACTTCGTATTGATATAATATTGTAGATTAGTAAGCCTGACAAAAAAGATGCAATTCACACATTTTTCGTTGCAACAATGCGCTTGAGTTATTCGGAAAAAATAGGAAAAAGTAAAAAAAAAATATTTAGTGGCCTTTTCAAGATGGCGGCGCACTGTCTTTGAAAATTGGAAAACTCTGACTTTTCCTAACTTTACCAACCCAGACAAAGTATTGAAAAAGATGAAACTGCCGTTGTTTTTGTAACCATTCGAGATTAAAGATACAGGACTGCATTTGGCTAGTTTTTAAAAGCAAATGAATAATAAATTAGACTGTTATTTGCTGTAACACCCATCAATAACATCTTCAAGTGAAATTGAAAACTATTTGTAAACTGTTGGTCAAATCTTTTGTTGCAAGATGGAATGAAAAATATCGTAAGCAATTTAAGTGCCTAGATTTTTTTCTAATTTTTGCCTTTTAACCCATCTCTGTTTCTTTCAAAAATAAAACAAAAATTTATGTCTTTGATTACACATTTTTCTGTAGTTAATATTGACAGGCATCAATATAGTTGCTTTTTCTTTCTTTCGTTGAAGTATCAATTTGTAAACCCAAATGTGTGTGTTTTTATGTAGTTTAAACTAGAATTTTAGAATATTAGGGGCACCGGAAAGTAATGTCGTTTCGGTGTATTAAATATTCGTTAGTCTTAAAAATCAATTTATTTTTTTCGATCCATTTCAGTTCATGTTCAATCTGGCATTGAATGGTTGTTGCTAACGAGGATGAATACATTATTGATTAAAAATAAAATCTTGATAGCAAATATCAAATGCACCGAAACGAAATTACTTTCCGCTCCACCTAATACAAGGGTAAAATTGCACTCTGTATAATTCAGATTTGAAATTATTTAAAATTATAATGATATCTAGTGCAATAAACAGTTAACTACACTTAATAATTAATTACACTCTTTACAAATTCATGTGCTTATCATATTTTCTTTTATATCTGTTTAGTTTTTAGTGCCCTTTATTGTTTCACAATATGATTTTAAACAACATACATGGTAAAAATTGAATATAAACATTTTATTTACAATAAATTGAAAAATGTTTATTGCTTAAAAAACTAAGTTTTGGAAAGTTTGAATAAAACTTGCTCCAGTTAAAAATGATTCATTGTAATAATATTTACAAAATGTTACAATTATACCAACTATTTCAGCAAAACACGTTTGCATACCCCTTAACCCCTAAAATCATATATTAAAATTGTAGATATGATACAGATTTGGTGCGGAGTGATACATTCTTCATTATTGCTACTTGTTTTTTGCTGGTCGTTAATTTTTAATTTGTTTTTAAAATCGTTATAATCATGCAAAGTAATCAGCATATATTTCTGTAGAAATTTAAAAAATAATTGAACTCAAAATCGTCAAGCTATCTTCAAATGATTTTGTACTGCTGAGTAAAAATACCTACTCTTAAAAATATAAAAGCTTTAAAAAAAGAAAAAAAAATTTAAAAAAAAGGAGGGAAGAACAAGAAAAATTTAGCCCAATACCTCTGTAGCCTTTGTACCTCTGATCAGAAAATGAGATAACCAAAACAGATTAATAATCAAGTCCGAATAAATTTTAATTATAGAATGAAGCATTAATGACATATGAAAAGGTGCTCATAACGTATAAAGGTGCTCATTACGCTATGTTATTATTCAAGTTAAATGTTAATAATTTTTCAGATGTGTTATTTCTTATTAAATAAAAAATTCTTTAAAATAAAGCGTTATGAAAAACGTATTTAACTCCTTAATTCGCAGTTTCTTTTATTTATATTTCAGGTGAATGTATAACGAAATATTAAATTTCAATAAAGTGAGCCATTTGCTTTTTATTCCATACTGGAACAGTGGATGAGTAATTTTTTCTATCATTTTTTAAAGAATTAGAGTATACATTGCTTGGGTGATCCTATTCTGATTTTACTTTACTCGGCCAACTTACTCTAATTGCTATAATACTCGAATCACATTTCTTTTAATATTACAGTTTCTTTGATAATCATCATCTTTTTTTAATTAATTGTCGTAAAAGCTCAAAAAGAATTTACTTACGGAAGTGAACTCGTATTTAAGTTCTCTGTGGAATTGTATCAAGCAAACTGTGGGAATTTTTATTTCAAATTTCGCATGTTATATTATTTTCCGTTGATCCAGTTATCGAAACAACAGCTGTTCATAAAGGTAGTTGTTAATCTTGGTGAACTTTGGCCTTATTTAACTCTTACGGTTTTTTCGAACGTTTATTCTATCTCAAGAAATTCATTGACAATTATTTAGAATATAGTTTATCATAATTATGTCAATAAAACGTATTGATTTTGTATGTTTTTTGAACTAGGAAATATAAATATGCCTATTTTACCAGTTTAAATTAAATAAGACAGAAACAAAGTTTGTAAATTTTTAAAATTTGAAAAAAAAATGTTTTTTTTTAAGGATAGCCTTCAATATCGAGTCAATTCTATCTAAAAAGAAGTATGAAAAATGGGGTGCATTGTTATTAATTTATCAAAATCGTGCCCACCTAGAGTATACTTTTTTCAACAGAAGATCATACAAAAAAGTATCTAGATCAGTAACGTAACCAAAGGCAAAATGATTTATACCAATTCAAATAGTGTCTACAGATTGTTTATCCATGATAAATGTAAATGAATCTCTGGCACTACCATGAATTGAGGATCAAATTACGGTAAAATGCATTTTTACCCTAAAATTTAAGGGAACAAAGAAATCTGATTTACCATATTTTTTGCAGTAATAAATATGAAAATAAAGAAAAATTATTGTGCATCATTTTCTTCTTTGGTATAAATTAATATAAAATTCCTGAATTGTAGTTAAATAATTATTATTGTAAAATATATGGTATTAAACGGTATATTTATTTACGGTAATATTTATTTCGTGGATGTTGCTTCCAGAGTGCCAATACTTTTAACAGTAATTTGATCCGGTACTTTTTACAGTGAGGAAATGAAGTCGCATAAGAAATGTCAATATTCAATTTGTTTATATAATGAACTGTTCAATAGAACTGTTTCAATATTTATCTCAAAAGAACTTCTTTTTTATAAGGTCAACGTGTATGAGAGCTCAATTCTCTCATTCTTTGCACATTGTTTTTCGGTGTTTTTCTGTTTCAAAATTTTGTGACTTCACATACTTTATCATGGCATAACTTCAAACAATTTTATGTCTCAGAAATTAATAAAACACATTAGAAGAAGCATACAATTTCTTTTGTTTGGTGAGAAGTATACTCGAGAGTTCGAAGAGAATATTTGGTAAATGATCTTTCGAAACTATTCCTTAGATATATTTTATGTGAAAAGCATGATACGATATTCATTTTTCGTGATCCCAGCGAAAGTTGTGAATCAAGCTTGAAAAGGCTGTTACTCTACGGGAAGAAAAGAATTCTGATAAAGTACTGTATGGTAATGACATTACTGGTTAAAAAACATAATTATGGTTAATAAAACCAAAATATACATCATTTAAACCAAACATTTGCAACTTTTCCGTTAAAATATTAAAGGTTAACGGAAATTTTTATTTTCAAAATTATAGTTCTTGTTACCAAACAGTTAGCAGAAAATAGAAAACTGAAAAAAAAATTAAACCGAATAAATGGTTTCTATGCCATCTTCTGAGTTATCATGATAAAAGTACAAAAGTTAATCATTTTTACCACATTCTGTAAAGCCATACTTTATCGCTAGTTTGACTAAATTAATTACCAAAGCGTTTCAAATAAAACACGTGCTTTTTGGTGTTCCCATAGACCCAGAAACACAGTAATTTTTACACTATTCTGGTATAGTTTTTGACCATAATTTTCTCTCAGTGTATAGAGGTTATAAATCGTTAGCAAAATTTATTAACTTTAAAAAAGTTATTTTTATTGCCTCTAAAAAAAGGTTACGTTTCTATATTTTTAAATAATATAAACAGTTTTTAATAAGAAATAATAACTTCTGATCTATCTTTCTGATATATCCAGTTTGATAACTTTTCTCTGTTTAAGAATTCTTTAAAACATGCTAAACTAAAAAGAAAATGTAACAAGATAATGATTCAGCAAAAAAAGAAATACCGAATGAAACGTTTTCTAATAGAATATATTACACTCGTGTAATTCGCTTTGCTTTTTAATGTGAAATTATAACCGTGAAATTAATGATTTTTAACCACGAAGTAATAATCTCTTTTAATAAGTAACAATAAAATAAAGGTTTTATGCTATAAAGAGCTTTTTAGCTCTCTTTTAAAAATCATATGTTATTCTATTTTTAGATTTTTTTCCGAAACAATTTAGGTAAAAAAAAAATTTATACTTATAAACATAAAGTGTAAGTTTAAAATAAAATCCTTTCATGCTCATGTAAAAATACTACACACTAAAATGAATATTTTTTATTACTGTACATTTCAATAATCTATTTACAGGTTAAATTGTTGTTTTTTTTAACAGTTATTATAAAGTTCTGAGGTAATATTTATTTCTCTCATCTGTCTCTGAATTGCTTCTATAAGAGGATCTTGCACAGCACTGGCTATTGTCCTTTGGAATATACCAGAGAGACGAGTAGTTATCTCACCCAAGGCCCAAGAGAGAAGACCCAAGCCTGTCATCTCAACCTTAACATCTCTGAATTTCTTGATTTCCAATCGTTCCAAATGAGGGTGAGTAATTTCGCTATTTTGCTTCCTGATGATAATTATAACGTCTGCAGCAAAATCGTTGCAGATGAAAGTGACATATCCTTCACGCGTCTTCCTTCGGTTCTCTTTAATCCAAGTGTAGCGACCCTTGAAAAAATGTGAAAATAAATATTACGTGTGGCATTGCTAAGAATGTAAATTAAATAACGATATTAAAATTCTATATTACTTTTGATTATTTTATCAAAAATATAATAAATATATTATCGATATGATTATCATAATATGCATTGAGGTTATGTAACTGTCGAAATTATTATTTCCCTATCTCCGACTTGTAGGTCACCAGCTTAGTCCCGCCACCATAAGAAGCCGATTGACATTTGAAAATTTAACTTTTATGCAGTGGTCCCATCAAGCATGAAGCTTTTTCTCGTCTACCATAAAATTCATTTTAATGAGTTTTTACGTAGCACCAATTTTAAATTGATGGGCTCGTACCATGAGTTGACGTACTTAAGTGAACTAATTTTAGAGTCTTAAGAGCTCTTTTTCATTTTTGAAGAAATGTTCTGCCTATACTGGGTGTTTCATAACGGCTGGAATTAATATATATTTTTTGGAATCTATTTAATGGATATTAAAAATTTTTTCACATTATGGAGCTAAATTTAAGACTTAGCCGAGAAAAGACAAAAATGCTTAGACATTTCGACCATTAATAATATTTGAATCAACAACAGCAACAAGAAAAAAGGCTTAAAATTATCTAGAACTAATATTTCATTCACTATTTTGGTTTTCCAAGCTCAATAGAGATTGATCAAAGCTTCAATTTTGTGAGTGTTAATGCGCTTAGTTTTTTTTCCTTCTTTAAATTTCATATATATACAGAGGCTAGTCAAAAATATGAAAACACTTCTATATGAAATCACTTTTTCATATCTCTCAAGAAATATTTAAATAATCTATTTATATTTTAAGAAGTGCTCAGGTTATGCGATTCAATGATGCTTAAAGCTTTTTGAGATTTAAAGGACCGACTATAAATTTCAGACTGAAAAAAAAGTTTTTGCAAGCATCCCATGCTAAAAAATATAGCAATAAGCTTGTAATTTGTAACAATTATTTCGGTTATAATATACAATATGTGTACGAAATTTTGTAAGCCTAGTTCTAATATTTATGGAGATATTGAATTTTTATACGAAAAAAAAAATCTTTTTTTGCCTCACGGTGTTTAGTTATAACTGCATAAATATTCATTAAAACTAAGCAAAATCTTTTGGTTCGTTATTTATAGCTGTGATCAAAGTAAAAATGTCTGATAAGCTTTTTTTAGTTGCTTTGTTAGCATTTTGTTCCTGAATATTAAGCTATCTGTTAAAAAAATAACATTAAAGTAACTCCTTTTATTTGAATTGATATCCATATGTCACCTTAACTGGGTTTGTCAAAAGTAGACAGCATAAGCTCTCTCTTAACAAAGTGAAAAGATATTTACTGTCTACTTTTGATAACATTCTTAAGATTGTCTGAATCTACATAAATTCAGTATAGAACATCCATGTTTTAGTCACATAAAGTCAATAGTTTTTAATCGCATCTTTGAAAATTTTAGTGAATAACAAAGAGTAACTAATAAAGTTGAGATAGCTATATGAAATGATAAGGAGATGCATGGTTTTAGTTTATTAGAATCATAAATCTATTTTAATCTAAAAAAGTTTTAATATATTTTGGATTTATCACTATGCTGGGCCATATTTTTGAAGAGTTTCAAAATGAATGCATTTTTAATAATTTTTTGTGCTGTTATATCCTACAATGAAGACAGAAATGTTTTAAAAAAATTTTAAACAAAAAAGTATTTAAAAAGTGATATTTCAAATTTTGGATAAAACTGAAAATATTATGCTGCAATTTTAAAACTTTTTGATATATTTTGAATTACGCTGTTTTAATATTAATTTGAGTTTAACCTGAAAAAAAATTGTGTTTTGAAAAAATTTCGTTTTAAAAGGAAATTTAAAGTTTCTAGAAATCTAAATTTGAAGTTGAAAATGTTCCTTTTCTATCATCTTAAAAATTATGAAGCAAGCTTTGAAGTATAATATATTAAAACAGGTATTCCGAATTTCCTGCAATTACAAGATTTGAGAAGGATCGTTCAAAAAAATATCATGAAGAACGCAGCCTTCTTAATTTCCGCGTCATTGTAAGTTTAACATGAGCAAAAATCAAAACTATGACCTATATTTCAATCTCGCGTTCACTGTAATTCAGGATCAAATTACGGTAAAAAAAACCGGTACTCAGAATGCCGTTTCAAAAAATATACATTCCATTTTCATAAGCATTTACAAATATTACTTTTACCCTAAAATCTATTTTTACCGCAACATGTTACGGAACAAAAAATCTGATATACCATGATTCATGCAGTATTAAATACCGTGAAATCATCGAAACATTTTAATTCAATAAATATTACTGCAAAAATTACGGTGTTATACTTTACTGTAAAAATGGATTTTTCCATAAAATGGATTTCACGGATGATGCACAATCATCCGTGAACCCCAAATGCAGGTCGGTTCTTTATACAGTAATTTGATCCAGAGATTTTTACAGTGCAGCGATGTAAAACATTTTCCTCGTTTAAGGTAATTAATGTAATTTTTTTCGGAGGAAAAACATTGACGCACTGTTTAAAGCACTGAGCTATCATTTTATACGATCGAGGGATCAAATCTATTCATTTTATAGGATCAAATCAATGGATTTTTTTGGGAGGAAGAACAATGACGCACTGGTTAAAGCACTGAGATGTCACTTTATAGGATCAGAGGATCAAATCAATTCTTTTCATAGGATCAAATTAATTGAATTTTTTTCGGAGGAAGAACAATGACGCAACGGTTAAAGCACTGAGTTTTCATTTTATGGGATTGGAGGATCAAATCTATTCATTTTATAGGATCAAATCAATAGATTTTTTTGGGAGGAAGAACAATGACGCACTGGTTGAAGCACTGAGATGTCATTTTATAGGATCGATGGATCAAATCAATTCATTTTATAGGATCAAATTTATGGAATTTTTTTCGAAGGAAGAACAATGACGCACTGGTGAGAGCACTGAGCTGCAATTTTATAGGATCGTAGTTTAGTTTTATTACTGGTGGGGGCTAGAAGTCCTCCTATCATCAGTTCGATAGGTACCAACTTGCCTGAGAAGTAAAGGCAGTAAATGTGTATTGTAGAATCCCTTGACCACATTGCTGCCCTCATGCATTGTGGTCTCGAAATTGAAGAACATGAACCTTTGTAATCTGGCCAATAACTGGATGGGAGTATTTTACTTGAATTCTTATTTTAAACAATGAAAATGTACCCAAAAAATCTAAACAAGTATTTGTGACTAAGATTCCCTTAGCGTATTGTTGAAAAAAATAAATTCCTTACTTTTAACTCATCAACTGTTAATTTCACGTGAATGGTGACATTTGCACCGTCGCAAGAGACAACTGCCTTCCCCATCTTCTCCAGGGAAGACAGTCCCCACATGACTCCATCTTTCAGATCAACAATGGCAGATCGTGGAGGCAGCCTCATCGGATCAGGAAGTTCTTTTCGGGCTCTCTTCAAGACGTTGTTTAAATACTCATCGATGTTTTTCTTTAAGCATTCAATTTCTTTTTCTTGGATTTTCGTTCCAGTTTGGGATAACGTCCCTAAATGCTTGCATTCACCTGAAATTGAAATGGGAATTCAAGCACTTCCTAAACGAAGCAAAAATATGTTCGTTTTTAATATAAATTCTTTTTAATATTATCTCTTAAAAACAATGAAAAAAAAACACAAATTTTAAAATTACTTTGATATAGTGTTATGCAAAATCTTGTTACTGAGTATTAGGGATGTAAGTATTTCAGAAAATGGGAGTTCATATTATGTTGATACTATCATGTTATTAAGCTAAACTTTATTTGAAAAAAGTGATTTTTTATATCTTATTTAGTTTAGTGTTAAGTGCGCAAAATCGGTCGAATAGTTCTTGAAAAATTGAGATTTAAAAAAGGTCGTATTTTTAAAATTTAATTTCTCAGAAACTATTTGACCGATTTCGCTCAAAATTTGTAATATACCATGTAAAATTACATTTCTTTAAAATTATGTAGAGAATTTACATACTTTACAGTCGAAAAGTTTTCGACTATTATTAAATAAAATAATAAAAAATAATAAGTATGTATTAAAAGTTTTTTTTGCCTGGAGTCATCTTTGGATAAATGAATTTTATAATTGTAGGCAAAACTTTTTCTATTCACTTAAAAAGTTCAAGAGATACAGCGAAATACACAAAAAGAAAAATTGACTTTAATGGCCCTCGCACTGGATCGCTCTCCTGACCAAACTATTGGAACCATATTTTCCAGATTGCGCTTACCCCCAAAATTTTTGGCTTTAGAAATTCAAATTCGTCAACAAAAAAAGGTGTGTTTATTTAGAAAAAGTATTGTTGTCCGATATCGTATCTTAAAATAACGTCTGCGTGAACTAATTAGCATATTTGAGAACATTCTTCCGAACCATTAAGATTGAGTCCTAAAACGTGAAGATCCGATCATTAGATCAAAAGTTACCCAACATAGTTCTTTTTGTTGCTGTTGTTTAGTTTTTTATGCACTGTACACACTCTACTTTATTATTCTAGCTATGTTTCACAATTTATACTAGTTTGATTAACTTGTAAGAAAGATAAATAACTTAAAACAGTATGCCATGAAACAACGAAACTCATCAACACCAAAATTTCGCTAATTTGATCCTTTCAAATTATAATTAATTAGGAAATAGTTTTCTTAAAACATTTCTCCACCTGAGGCATAAGTGTGCATGACATGTTCTTATGAAACATGAATGAAGACATAAACTGTATTTCATGTTACATTTATAGAATTTCAACTTAAACTTACATTCGTGAAAAAAAGCAGGTATCAGGAAAATGAATAAAATGCTGTAAATTCTCTGAAGACCCATCTGAAAATAAATTTTATTTTATAAGAAAATTTTAGTTAAAATATTTTTTAAATTACAGTTTTCTCCATATCTTATAAATATAATAGGAGAAACCAGATAAAATAAGCTCATACTAAAATATTTAATGTGGACTTATTTGAGTAATCAAATTCAGGTGGTCTAAATATCTAAAAATTAAGCAAATGTTCACATGTTATAATTCTAAGTAAGTTATGTGAAATATACAAAATAAAATCTTTAAAGCTTTTAATTATCATAAGAAAGGTGAGAATTGTTATAAATTTTATAATAAAAATCAAAAAATTACAAAAAATAATTCGCGGCACATTCAGCTATTGAAGATTAATGATTTAACAAAAATTTTAAAAGTGTAGATAAAAAAGGATGAAACATGTTTTCTTTTTAAATTAAGTATAATATCTCTTTTTTTGTACTTTAAAATTAGCTATCTGAGTACGTTTTCTTTTAAACCATCATTTTATAAAAAATAATTGTCATCATATTTCAGAAGATTCTGAATGACTTTACAGACAGAATTGCGATTTATATTTTCAAATTGATTCTATTTTTTTTCTTCTAAATATTTAAATACAAAGCATGCATGTTCTCTGAAAAACTAAACAATTTTGCTTAATCAATAAAAACATAATTTTCATAGCTTTTTTGTGAATCTTGTAAAAGATAATAACTATTCATTACGCATTAAAACCCATTAAAACATTATAATTTTGAAATACTTCAACTTTCTTCAATTTAAATAAATTGAAAAAGAAAGAGTACGAAATCAATCCGGAAGATATTTGCATATTAACCATTATTTATGGCATTTTAATGTATTCAGTTTGTGTTTGATCATTTTACTATTAATGAATATATGAATAATGCGATTCATTAGGAATTTAATTTAAATTATGCCATTATTTTTAAGCATACTATATTCATTATCAATTATTTATTAAAAATTACTATATATTTTAAAAAAATGTAAAATTAAAAGATTACTATTAATCAACTTATTTACTATCAATGAAATTCTTAATTAACAACAATTAACAAATTGTTTATTTATTCACAATAATAAAATTTTTCGAAAATTTCAATTGTACATATATTTTTAGACTAATAGATAAAATACAGTGGAAGTATTGCATCATTTCAACTCGAAATGTAATTAATTCAAATTTTAAAGTATTAGAAAATTTCAGATGCAATAGGAAAGAAAGGGACAGTTATAAAAATGAAACTTTAGTTCTTTTTCTGTGATTCGAAAGCAGCGAAATGTCTTAAATTCCTTGATTTCGAAACTATCAGAAAAAAATTAATAGTGATTAGTAATGTTTCTATTGACACTTAAGTTGAGTGTCATTTCTCCTTTTTCTGGATACTGCATAGATCAGAATAAGAATCTATTATATATAATTCTCTTACGTGGCTCCCAAATTTTGGCTGTATTTCTTTTCCGCCGATGGCAACGTTTGCTTTGTTTTGAAAACACCAAAGCATTCTGCCTTTTAATGATGTGTTTCTGATCTAATATATATAATTCTCTTACGTGGCTCCCAAATTTTGGCTGAAGTACTTTGTACAACTAAATAAGATTCTTTTCACAACAGTTAAATATTTACTTTATTTTCTTCATTCATAGAGAAAACAGTCGGCAAAGAATTCTGTTAGGTTAAAAAACATTTCGCTAAAAAAATAACGAATTCTAAAAGAAATAAAAATAAACAACTTAAAAAATAAAAATGCTGTTGCCAGCCATAGAATTTTTTGAAAGTTAACTTAGCAACATAAATCAAAATGACATAGAAGCGCAACTAGATCAAAATTATGATACCTGAGCGCTTGACGTAACAAATCCTTCAATTCTAAAAGTGTTGTATCGCCAAATGCCCAAATTAACAATTGTGTTCTTAAAGAAATTCTATAAAAAGTTTTAAATAAACAACCTACTTCTACAACTGCTTCTTGAAGAACTTGGCTCATTGATTAAAAATATTGTTTTAATTTTACAGTACTAACTTTACTTCTACTTTCATTATTGCTATGACCCTCTTTCATTACATTTTACAACTTCATGCTAAATTTGAGGACTTTAAGTTGTTTTGTGGTTGAATACTGACATTTAGAAATGTGTACATAAAAAAAATAATATTTAGAGGTTAAGAGTTGCCTCAGAAAAATTTGAATTGTTGACATTGAACTTAACAATGGAAACAATCGTTTTTGTGAAAAATTTATACTGACTTTTACAACATAAACTATAAATATTGTGTTTCAACTTAACAATACTACCTTAATTTATACTTTAGAATTGCCTCGAAAAAATTTGAATTGTTAGCAATGACTTAAACAAAAAGTTTTATTCTAACTGACAAATACTATATTATAATTTTAACTTTTTCTATGACTATACTCATTTTCTTGCTCTATTCTTTGTTTTTTATACATTATATATTTTTGTGATAAAATAAAAAAACTTATAGTTCTTCTGCTTCTGAACACTGATGAAAACACAAAATGATGGGCTTCATCAACAATCCAAAATATATACATTTATTTTACAAATTCCATATTATTGGGGTGGCGCCCTTCAGAGAATTAAAAATACAAAATTATCTTCATCAAAGCCGATGCTTTACATCCGGCGTTCAGTGGCAGACTACTATTTCATATTGTTTTACAACACATGGCTTTAGCCCTCTGGTGGGAAAGACTTTAAAACAAAACTTACAACAGTTACTTTTCTCAACAACTGAAATTTAGAATAGTGTGATTAAGAAAAATATGTGAACTGTTTGCAATTTCAAATTAATATTGAAATGTACAGGTTTAGAATTTTCTACAGTGAAAAGTTTTCGGAACTTCAGTATTCAAAAAAGTATAGAAAAGCTAGACGTTAAGAACGTATCCAATTAGCGAGCAAAGCGAGCATTGGATTGCGAAGCAATCTGAAATGAACTGCGAAAGCAGTTCCGGGGGTTGGCGAGAGCCAGCGAGCAGGGGGCGAAGCCTCCTAGTATTTTATATTCTTGTTATAAAAAATTATTCCCGTGAAAATTTAAATTTTAAAAATTAAAATTGTCTTGTTAACTGACTTCTAAATTGTCCTCGGATTTTTTTAATCCTTAATTCTGGTAAAATTAACGTACTATATAGTTGGGGCATTTCTAGTAGCAAGAAACTCAATAATTTTGGTTAATAAAACCAATATATGAGGTGTTTAAACCAATCATTTGGTAATTTTCCATACATATGGTAACGGATTACCGGAAAATCTGGTTTCAAAATTATAGCTCATTTTACCACACATTTAGTAAAAAGTACAATACTGAAAAGTAAATTTAACCGAAAAATCTTTTTCATGCCCTGCGCTAATGTATCATGATGAAATTACCATATTTTACCACGTTTACCAAATTTTATCACAAATTATGAAGCCATTTTCTTAATTTTACAAAAAATATCTACCAAAGAGCTTCGTTACTTTTTGGGTGTTTTTATAGACCAAATGATAATTTTTACCAAATCATAATTTTTACCATATTCTGGCATGGTGACTTATTTTATTAGGGCATTTGATACTCATTGTAAAATAATTTCATTGTATACATGTACATTTTGTAAGACAGTAAACAGTAAGATTGTTAAATCATTATGTATAAGCCTGAAATTATATAAACTTTCATTTTGTTCAATTTACTATCTTATTGTTAATTTATTTTATAATGAATTTAAAAACCCAATATATTGAGATCAAATTCCTTTATATATATTAAAAGCAAACATAGTTTTGCAAATATGAAAAAATATTAGAAAATGCCCATGTTTTGATTATCATATAACACGGCGTTTATGAATTAGGAATACAGCATTAGGAACACAAGATTTAGGAATATTTTTGAAACAAAGATAAGAAGTAGAATACATTCCATTATATGTGCGAGAAAGGCGTACATTATACCATACGGTAACACGTGTGACATGTATTTACCGGTAAAGTATACGAAATATAATTTTAAAAAAATGTCTCTGGTATTAAAATAAAGCATAAAGATATTTCTAGAAGTGCATGTTCATGTAGAAATAATTATGAAGGTTCATAAGTAAATAATATATATTTGGTATACTGTATTAGGCGACCAGCGGAAATATTCTTGACAAAAATAATTAATAATACAACAACTTTTTTTATAAAAGTAAAATCTTATTTTTATAAATTAATTATTTAAAAAATCATCTGTAATCAAATTAAATTATGTAAGCATAAAATTATTACCTTTAGAAGTGTTGTAAACAGATAGAAGAGCTAGAGTCTTGAAGTTGAAACCTGAACAGGTGAAATATTAAAAGGAACGAACACTCTGCATTTTCCTATTTAAATATTTTTTAAGACTGATTATTTTCTAATTATCACCAATTATCTCTTCATATACTTTGAACTAAGAGTGAATCATAAATTAATCTTCTTAAGAAAAGTCAAATAATTCCAGTTTCAAGTACATTTCAATTCTTGAAGAAATTGACGTATTTAAAAAAAACAATTATTTAACTTCCGCTTCAAAGGTTCTTTACGCATGTCTATAAATAAAGAAATGTCTGAAATAGTATTTTAATGTCTGAAAATAGATTTTTGTTTGATTTATTTTTATTATTACTATAATTAAATAAAAGACCTTTGAAACTTCTTCCCTATCAATGCATTGATTGAACTTTGTAACTTATTTAAGATATCAAAAAAGCAAATTCAGACCTTAAAAAAAAACAAATTTCTGATAACATTTAGCATATATGTCAGACTAAAAATGGGTAAAGGTCCTATGATAAACCTCTTATTTAAAATTCAGTTTTTAAGTATATTCAAAGTTCAATGCGCAATCATTCTTTTATCCCACTCTAAGTAATCATTAAAAGAAACATAAAAAAAAAAAAATATAAGAATTTTCAAAATCATGTTCATTTTTATGTTTTAAACACGATTTTTTAAATAACATATCAACTTTCATTTGAAAGGAATGGCATTAAACCACAAAACTAGGGATTTTACACACTTGGATGTAAAATAGTTTCGAAACTTTTTCCGTTATAACATTGAGGGGTTTTATTTATCGACTATGTCAACCTTCATCAATCACAAGGTACCTCACGATAGAATCAAGTTTTGTCTTATATACTAGTGAATCAGTATTTAATATTTATAGTGGTATTTACGCCACATTACACCCCTTCCAGAATTTTTATCTGTAATAGAATTCTATGAACGAATATCACTAGTTGATTTTGCAGTTTATTTATTTACATCATTTTGCTCATTTTTTTTCCTTCATTTTTTTTGTTTATAGCATTTCACTCATTATTTTTTTTCCTTCCATATTGTTTATTGACCGGAAGACTTTTTTACTTACTTCACCGGATTTTTTCTTCTTCTTTTGCGCAGTATATTTTTAAGCAAACCAACTGTTTAGTGTGGACCAACCATAAAAACGCTAAAAATAATCATAATTACTTTCTTAACAGAGTAACATCAATAATTAAAACTGTAGTTTAATTAATCAAGTAGTTAATTGTCTGTGGTTCAGTTTAAATTTATTAGGTCATCGTATATGCTTATATTTGGTAAAGCGTTTCCACTTTCACATTTGGTAAAATATTTCTATTGTTCCCATAAAAAATGGAATCACTTTTTGAAGTGGAAGATGGTTCCAAATAGAGTTCTCGCTGCTAATCCCAAGTAGCACAGGGATATTGTAACAGCTTTAGTCTACATCGACCAACATTGTTAATATTGGCGAAAATCGACATGGTGTGTACGATATTGTACAATTCCCGTCGATTTCACATTAAAAGTCTGTGTGTAAAACTTTTCATTTTTAACTTTATTGTGTTCTTAAGTCAAAATTAATCATTCAAAAGACAAAAAATGACGTCAAATTGTTATAATTCCAAAAAATAAATTTAAAATATAAATTTAGTAGTATTTGTAAATACTGAGAGATATCGATCGACGTTCCCCAACGTTTTTACAATATCGAACAATATTGTTTCGCGATATTGAATATTCGTTATAAAAGGGGTCCATTTTTATATAGTACAATGTTTCGCTACGATATTGTACAATGTTCAAAGCTAAGTTTTTACGATATCGTTTTTGTGAATCGTGTTTCTTGGGATCTCCATTTTGCTAAATCGTGTCAAAAATCGTCTCACTTGGTAAAAAGATCGAACAACTAAATTCGCAAAATTATTAGAGCTGGAAAAAAAAAACGCATTTTCAATTGCATTGTCAATTCGCATTGTCAATTCCTACTTAGATCAATAAATAATTACAACATTTTCTCCCACATAAAACTGAAATTAATTAATTAAATTTAATTAATGAATTAGTATTTGAAAAAGCTGTATTAACATCAAATCTCATCCACTACAAGTTTAAAAAAATGTGTTTAAACTTGAGTGGGTGAATGAATTTTCCTCTTGACGACGAATATATATTCTTTGTATTTATGTGTTTTTGTTCCCAATAAAGTTATATTTGTTTGTTAAAAAAAAAAGAAAAGAAAAGAAAAAGTATTTTATTAACGATTGAGTATTTTATAAGCGATTAATAAATATATATAGGGAAAGAGTGAACTAATAGTAGGAATTGAAAGGGGAAAAAAGGAGTGTGATATCAAACAACTATGAAAGTATAAATCTGGTGACGTGGACCACACATGTTACCAAGTATTGTTCGTTATTCGCGATCGCAACGATCTATAGGGAGCGTTGTTGTATGAGATGAATTTCTGCGATTTCCTTATGAACAGTCATTCAGCTGCTCTGGAGAAGTCTTTAATGTAGCGTGTAGCATTGTAACGTTCTTTCTTTATTGTGGCTTATTAGATTTAAAAAGGAAAAATGTCTGATATTCTTTCTAATGCAAGCGAAAACAAAATGGTATCATTTTTTTTAGAGAAGGAACATCCAAAACACATCGAAAAAATATTTTTAAATAAACAGGACAAAAATATGTATTTTCTTATTAGAGTTAAAACCTAATGCCTGCGAAATCTTTTTACTAAATATAAATAATCGTTTAATGATATTACTTGAAAGGCCTATTTAAACTTTACATTCCACAGTTTTATGAATCATATTCCTTCAAACATTAAAATATGCGAAAAGTATACATAGGCCCATAATTTTATATCATTTAATTTTGCAAAAAAAGTTTTGACAACAATTTTATTAAAAAAATTTCAAGTTTCAATAAAAATCATTATTTATATACTAATAAGCACAAAATAAAGAATGCTTACGAAAAAACGATTCTGAATATTCCTTAAATTAAAATACAAAACTTTCATGTTTTCTTTTATTATTAATCGGAAGTAGAAAACCATTCTATAGAGAACTAAATGCAAATGAGAAAAAAAAATTATTTACAAGTAAATTTTTTACTATGAAAATCCTGATTTATAAATCCGGAGAATTCCAAAGTGATATGTTCTTCATGTGAAAACTTTATTCTCAAATAATATATACATAAATTATCCTTTCATTACTTTAATATGACATACCACACAATAAAATTTTATAATTGCAAGATCTAGATATGAATTTCAATATGTAACTTAAAAACATATTAGTTGAATTCAATAGCTGAATTGAAATTTATCATTCAAACTTGAAAAATACTTACCAAGAAAACGATAAAAATTTATTAATCATCAGTAGAAATGATATTATTTCAAGCAATTCGGATGATTTTTTATTGTTGTTTTCCGAACTATATAGATTCAGAAATATATACTATTCTCTAACTATTACAGCTCCACATGTTCTGAAATTACATTTATTCATTGGAATGAAGTAAGCAATGTTGATTTCACTTTAATTTGTAATGAATTGAAAACAAGAAAAATGCATTTTACCGTAATACACACATCAGTAATAGAGTCCCTAAATTAGAGCCTCAATCTGTAACAGTATGCGATCACGAAATCGGAAGTTATCGGTTGCAAGCTTGTTAATAATACAAAGGTAAAAATTATTGAGATTGTTCTTCAAATGTTTGGCGTGCTCTGTTTCAAAAAGATTTACCAATGTTCTGCTTAGTTTTTTTGAGTCCTTTCCCTTTTCCTTAGCGAAATTTTGCTTCGTATTTGCTACTGAGAAAATGGCGTCCGACTCTTCCAATAATTATGATAGAACTAAATGAAAACTTAATAAATAAATGCCTGATATTTTCAGGCTCCGCTAGAGGGCGTATTCAAGCGTTGCTATCGTGAATTGAATTTATCTGACACAGCGAATATAAAATAATGAAATATTTAAATGTGCCCAACAAACTATTTTTTGTGCATATAGAGCTATAAGTTAGAGATTATCACTGATGTTATTTATAAAATACGTGACAAAACTTAATCACTTTTTCGCGATCGCAACGCTTGAGTACGCCCTCTAGCGAGAGCCTGTAAATATCAGACATTAATTTATCACGTTTTCATTTAGTTCCATCAAACTCATTGGCAGAATCAGACGCCATTTTCTTAGCTGCAAATAAGAAGCAAAATTTCCCTAAGAAAAAGGCAGAAGAGCTTGAAAAAACTTTCCAGAATATTGGTAAATCTTTCAGAAACAGAACACGTCAAACATTTGAAGAAAAATTCCTCAATAATTTTAAACTTATATGATAAACAAACTTGCAACTGATAACTTCCGATTTCGCTATCGCATACTGTTACAGATGTGTGTATTAAGGTAAAATGCATTTCTTCAGTCTTCAATTCATTACAAATTAAAGTGAAGTCAATATTGCCTTCGTCGTTCCAATAAATAAATATGAATTCAGAACGTACAGAGCTGTAATAGTTATAGAATATTCTTCTTCGTTATAGAATAGTATATATTTCTGTATCCATATAATTCGGAAAACAACAGTAAAAAATTATCCAAATTACTTGAAATAGTGCCATTTGTGCTGATTATTAATTAATTTTTTATCGTTTTCTTGGTAAGTATTTTTTAGTTTTGAAAGAATAATTTCAACTAGAATTCAGCTATTCTGTTTTTAGCTACATATTCAAATTCATATCAAGATCTTACAATTATAAAATTTTGCTGTGTAGTATGTTATCTAAAAGTAATGAAGGGATAAACTATGTATCTATTATTTGAGAATAAAGTTTTGAAACAAAGAACATATCATTTTGGAATTCTCCGGAATTATAAATCAGGTAAGTGTTATGATTTTTATAATAAAATTTTTTATTGTAAATATTCTTTTTCTCATTTGATGATAGTTCTCTACTGAATGCTTTTTTACGTCTGATTAAGAACTATAAGAATAAAAAGGGAACAATATGGAAGTTTTTTTATTTCAATGTGAGGAATTTTTAAAATCGTTTTTTTATCCTAAGAATTCTTTATTTTACGTTTTTTAGTTTATAATTTTTTGATAAAAATTGTAGTTAAAATAATTGTTTTGAAAAATTAAATGGTATAACATTATGTGCTAATGTATTCTTATTGCATATTCTAATGTTTGAAGTAATATGATTCAAAAAAGTATGGAATAAAAATTCGGTACTTACATAATAACGCCACCGCAACTACAGATTGGGCGGTTTTTAAGTGCCACCAATCTACACCAAAATTTTTGCGACAAATCATAAAATAAAACACTTTATTTTAAATCAAAGTAGTTTAACGGATTTCGGTGGACAATGGACAAAATATTTCGCTCCTGAAAAAATAAAATTGCATCTTGTTCTATTTTTGGCAAATTCCAAAGACGCATTTTCGTAGCACTAAAAAATGGTAACAAAAATCGAAGAACAAATCATTTTGGAATTCTTCTGATTTATAAAGCAGGTAAGTGTTAATTTTTATAAAATAAAAAAAGTAATTTTTTTCTTATTTGATTATAGTTTTCTACAGAATGGTTTTCTGTAGAAATCAAATGGTTTTCTGTAGAATTTTGATTCATAATCATCGATTATGAATCAAAAAAGAAAAAACATGAAAGTTCATTTTTCAATCAGTTGTTTATTTTAATGTAAGGAATTTTTAGAATTGGTTTTTTCTTCTTTGCTTTGTATCGTAAGCATTCTTTATTTTACGTTTTTTAGTTTCTAAATAATGATTTTTATTAAAACTTAAAATTTTTTGATAAAAAGTGTTGTCAAAGAACTTTTTGCACAAAATTAAATTATATCAAATTATGAAGTTTATGTATACTTTTTGCTTACTTTAATGTTTGAAGTAATATGATTCTTAAAACTATGGAATGTAAAGTTTAAATAGGCCTTTCAGGTTATATCATTAAATTTAGTAAAACTATTTCTCAGGCATTAGGTTTTAACTCTAATAAGAAGATAGATATTTTTTTTCTGTTTATTTACAAATATTTTTCAGATGTGTTTTGGATGTTCCTCTTTTAAAAAAAAAGAGATACCATCTTGTTTTTGTTTGCATAAGAAAGGATATCAAACATTTTTCTTTTTTAAATTTAATAAGCCACGATAAAGAAGGAACGTTACAATGTTACACGCTACATTAAAGACGTCTCCAGAGTAACTGAATGACTGTTCATATAGAAATCGCAGGTATTAATCTCATACAACAACGCCCCCTATAGTTCGTTGCGATAGCGAATAGTAAAATGTAAAACAATGACTAAGGCTTATACAATCAGAAAATTCCATTTCGTTGTTCGCTCATCCCTATTTAATTAATGAATTAATATTTGAAGAAACTGTATTAATATTAAGTGTCATCCCTTCCAAATTCAAAAAAATTTATTTGAACTTGAGTGGAGGAATAAAAACTATTTTATTAACGAATGAAAATTTGAACAAGATATAGGGACAGTGTGAACTAATAGTAGAAATTGAATAAAGCATTTTTTAATGTTAATTATTAGAATGTTAATTAAATTTGCTTCTTAATTTTCTTAACCTGCTGGTTTCAAAACAGAGTTAACTCGAGTCAGATATTTGTATTTCATTATTAGAATTTCTTTTTCTTTCTTGACATTCCGAAATTTCTGGAGAATAATTATTTCAGTTGATTCTATCACCAATTGTGGAATTCACCAATAGTTATCGTGAGGAGTGAGTTTTTATAATTTTTGTTTCATTTAGCTAATTTTTTTAAAAATTATCCAAGATTTTTGCGTTTTTATGAAGCCAGTGAGAAAGCTGATACCAAGTAAAATCGCAAAATACAGCCACGAAATCCTAACGTGCTGTTTTCAAAAACATATATATCTTTCGCATATATGTTGAAGCTGCTTATGTTGTAGAGACAACATAAGCAGCTTCATGTTGCTACTAAATTAACTAAAGGTTCTGAGTATCTTCTACTAAGTATTAAGTTTAAAATCATTGTTAATATGTCGCAACGATTTCAGAAATTAGGACATTCATATTAATATATATCAATATCGATCTATAAATTTGAGATATTTTAAACAAAAAAAATTTAACAACTATTTTAATTACATCCCTTAATCGCCGCGTGTATAACACATTTCTTTTTGTATTATCACATCGACGAGTTCGCTTAAATAACAATCTTAAGCTAGCAATCCAATAGAAGGAATTTACTTTAGTATTATGTAGTACTACTTAGGAAACTATCTAGTGGCATATTTATTGTAATATAATTTTTACAATATTTCGTAAATTTCCTAGCAATCAACGCAATAATAAAATAATTGGAATAACATTCATAATTTTTTTTTATTACCAGCATTGAATAGCTGACCCGATTCTGAGTATACGGTTATCAATGCTCAACTCCATAATATTGTAATTTTGAACCCAGTCCAAAAGACAAGGAAACTCAAGTATTAGGTGACATTTGCTTTTGTGGAACTAACCTGTACTTGCGTTGCATGGAGAGGAAAACCGCCCACTGTTAGTCCAGCGACAAGGGGAATCTAGCCCCTGATACGCTTACTACTGAGGATATTTTATGCCAGCACTGTGGTCAGTGCAAGCCTGAAGTAGAATTTGTATCGACCAAAGCTGGGATTCGAACTTGGTTCACCTCATTAGGAAACTAGAGCTCATAAAATTATTTTATTTTATAACCGCCGTTGAAAAGCCGACACAATTTTTTCGGTTTACGACTACTAATGTTCAATTCTGTAGCCTTGTAATTTTAAACCCAACCCAGAACACAAGGGAACTCCTGGATCAAATATAGGGAGTACTTTGCCTTCGTGGAGGACTTTTCGGTGGAACTAACCATCATGTGCATTAAACAGAGAGGAAAACCACAAAAACCTCCCACGGTTGGCCTGACGGCAAGGGGACACTAATCTATGATTCGTCTATCACTGAGGATATTTTACGTCAGCACTGTGGTTGGTGCAAGCTGGATGCAGAATTCATATCAATCAGCCATCGCTGGGATTCGAACCCAGTTCACCTCATTAAAAGGCGAACGCTCTATTCCCTGATCCATTAAGGTTTCATAAAATTATTTTATTTTGTTTTATAACCGTCGTTGAACAGATGACCCAATTTTCGTCTGTTAATGTTCTACTCCGCAGCCTAGTATTTTTGAACCCAATCCCGAAGGCAAAGAAACTCCTGGATCAGTACCCCCAGAGGTTTGATTTGTTATGGGAACATGAAGGACTTTGTGACCTGACAGATTTAACGTGCATCCGTCACCATTTACTACACTGGGAGTCCGGCGGGGATAGAACCCACGACCTCTTGGACATGGGCCCCGTGCTCTACCAACCAGGCTATCCTGGCCCCCATGAAATAATTTGTCGTTTTTTAAAAGTTCAACTGATAAGTATATGTTTTCTAAATAACTACTTTTTATAACTAAAGATAGTTCTTAAGTAGTCAGCAGCCGAGAAATCAAAATAAAAATATTTCATTTTTACATTTATTTATTTACAAAATATTCATTACAAAAACCACAAGTATGTTTATATTACAAGCATTTATACAAATGTTTAGATGAACCATTACAATATGCTCCACAACTCAAAAAGTTGAATTCATATTTACAATCAAAACATTCAACTAAATTGATTTTTTTTTCCAGATGTAATATTAATATTCAAATACATACTAATTTTCCTCCTTTTTAATTGCTTTTTAATGTAATAAGTTGAATTAAACACAATGATAATATAAATTAAGATTATGCTCGATATGATGACAATTAATGAAGGAATAATATTTTTATTTTTAAGAAACTGAAACATTGGAATGAAATGAATTGATGTGTGATATCTTAAATATGGTAATGTTTTTCGCAATAGCATTGATAAAAACTTTACACAAAAATATTTTTGTATATATAATTTTTCAATAAGCATTCTATTTATTATACTTTTAATAGAAATGTATAAAATGTATATTAATTATAATAAGATTAATTTTCTAAACCTACTTTACATATAAATAGAAATTTAATGTAACAAGCACAAATGTGGTTCATTGATATAATTAGTTGATAATCTTTATTCAATTGTTTATGACCAATTGTTTTTATTTTCTCACTATTAGTTTATAAATTTCTAAAAATCTGTTTCAAGTCACTCTTTTTAAATAGAATTTATTTAAAAAAGAAGTTATGTGTTCTTAAATTAAATTATAACTTTTTAAATTGGATACTTGCAAATGATGTCACGACTGAAGGTATCTGATTCGAAAATTTATTCAACGAAACCCAAGCTTTAAAGTGACGTCAAAACACCATGCACAAGCACGTGATTAGATACAGCCGTATGAATAGTGGCAAGTATCCAATTCAAATTATCAATTAAGGAATGCATATTTTATACTTTTAAAATATCATAGATAAATTTTGTTGACAAGTGAAAATGCTTAAAACAAAATTTCAGATGCTTGGATTATTAGAATAGAATTTACTTTCAAAAAGAAAGTGTGCTCGGTAGCGTGAAATGATGTCGCTGAGATAGCTCAAAATATCACAAGAATAAAATTTCATTCTTTTGACGGGAGTTTTGTTTTGTTGTTTTAAATGATGGAGAAGATCGGGATGGTGATGTTATTGAGCTGTTGTCTGATGACGTGAGTAATCTGAGCTTCAGCTATAGGAATAACAGCTTTGGGATCCTCATTGACTTGATGGGTGATCAGCATAGACAGAGCTGATGTTAGATTGCCCAAACCTTTCAGTCGCACTGTCACGTGACCGAGTTTCCATATTTTCAACCTGAAAACAATACAGAGTATTTATGTGCAATGATTGGAATAAGATGTAAAAAGAAATGCACTTAACTTAAATATCATCTCAATTTATTTATTTATTATTATTATTTATTCATTTTTTTATTAAAAAAAATCTGTTTTTAAATATTTTATGCCTGTTTTTTATCACTGAGGGTTCCCCTCAACAGAAAAGGCTTTTTATTTCCACCATGTTTACTTACGGAAAATTATATGTAAACATTTCCCTTACTTATTAAGTACTTAATGTTGGGAAATGTTTGGGAAATGTTATTTCTTGAAATACGTAAGGAGGCAGAATGAATGAATGCCAAATTTTAGATTTTAAAGCAGCAAGTATTTTTTTTAATTTTTCAGAACTGTTTTTTTAACTTCAAACGAAAATTAAAAATATTTACTACCTCTACATTTAAAGTTAGTTACTAAGTTTAATAGCATTTCAATCAATAAAATGAAATAAATATTCGAATATATTAAGTTTTTTAAATTCTTTTAATAGATGTGAAGTTAAGTAGATGTGATAGAAAGCGAATCAAAATCTTTTTCCGTCCTTAAGAGGACACTACTAGGAAAGTCTCTTCTTTTTTTTAAAAAAAAACTTTTAAAATTTATTTTCCTAATTCCGTATCATTAATTTAAAACAAAGAATAAGGTGTCATTAGTAATTTTAGAAGCCTGTTATGTTAAAAATATTTGTTGCAAATATATTTAAAATATATAAAATGAAGCACGCATAAACCAGAATTATTATTGTATTTTTTAAAGTAATTTTTCAACTTGTGTCAGTAGATTATACTCCAAAATGAAAGAGATGTATTCTTTAATAGAGATTCAAGTCAGAATAGTGTATTCCTTTTTTCTCTTTTTTTAAACGTTTCGCTTTTCTTTTTCTTTGAATTGAAATAAATAAAAATAACTTATCTAAAAGAATAATTTAGTTCATATATTAGGTTTTTTGTTTAATTAATCATGGTATGATTTTACATTTTCATTATATATAAAATTCTAAACTTAGTTAAGCAGTACATTAGTTCATTGAGTAATTCTATTTAAAATATAAAATATTAAGAAATCCTGCCAAGAAAAATCGCATCAGAAAATTTACAAGCAGTATACTTTAATATGAATAAGTAATCTAAGATTATTTACTCACTTTTGAAATATTTTTATTTGTTTCTGAAATAAAAGAAACTTTTTGAAAAAAATAAAATCATTTTTTAAAAATTTTTTGGAAAACTTATTTTAAATACTTTCTGAAAACTAAATAATATTTACTAAAGAGTAATTTTCATATGATGCAAACCTTGCAAATCCTTAGAATACAAACAAAAAAAGCATTTAAAGCATTTAAAATATATTTTAAACAAGCAAGAAAACGCCTTTTCTTTAAACCGCTTACTTTACAAAATTTTTTATGTAGGTTAAATATATACCATTGACTTTTTTTTAAATAAAATTAGCTGGCCAAAATAGATTTAAATTAAAATTATCAAATCAAAATTGGTATCAATATAAATTATATATCTATCAAGACCGATTCTTAATTGAGTTTTGGTAGTGTAGAAATGAAAAATTACCGAAAAATCATGATAAATAATGAGGAATAAGATTTTAAAATTTGAAACTGATGTGGAGTTTCGCCTAAATCTGATGTGGTTTATGCAAAATGCGGTAGCTACAATTTAATTTAAGCTTTATTGCTCCGTAAGCTCAAATGATAGTGTATCTACTTCATTTTGCCTAAACCACATTAAGGTATTTTGCAATAGTTGCTTCTGATATAAACTTTAAGAATATTTGTCTCTTATGAAGTAAAACGGTGCTTACATTCGAAACCGCAAGTAATTTTTAATCGAAAAGGAACCCAGAACGATATCGAAATCTGACGAACCACTAGTGAAGCAAGCAAGATGATAAACATCTAAACCAATTTGCAATTGATGAATCTTAAGCCTTTAACGTGTGCGCTCGAGTTATTTCGAGCGCGCTAAACAGGCCAAGCTGTACACACTCGAGATAATTCGAGCGGCGTGGTATTTTATCCTGCTATAATTTCTCACACTCAAATGTAATCGAGAATTGAAAATAACAATGTGAAAGCTAAGAAAAAAAATCGTTTTATTGATATTTATCATTTACATAGGATTGTAAGCTATAACACTAATTTATTCAAGAATAAAATACAGCTTTTTTCCATGGCGCAGCACATCAAAACTGTCCACCAAAAGAAAAGACTATGTTCTGAAGTATGTTTTTATACATTAAAAAAATAGATTTTTTTTGACCGATTTTTTTCAAAAAATCTGCGCGTTAAGGGGTTAAAGTGCTTCCAAAAGTCGATTTTAGACTTCCCTTTGTTTCCTCTTGATATAAGGCGGATTTTTGTTTTTTAAGTTTCACATTTCTTAGCAGTGATTTGTTAAATTTCGATAACAAAATTATTTTTCCATGTCTTAAATAATAGTTTTGTGAGCCTTGATTGTTTTTTTTACATAATTTTAGACGAAGATTCTCAAAATTTACACTTGGGGCGGCCACCACGAGTGCACGAGGTGTGGTTTACGAACGCCATTTGTAAAAAATATTAGGGGGACCAGAAAGTAATGTCGTTTCGGTGCATTAAATATTCGTTAGTCTTAAAACCAATTCATTTTTTTCCTATCCATTTCGATTCATTTAAATCCAGCACTGAATGGTTGCTGCTAAGGAGGATGAATATATTATTGATTAAAAATTAAATATTGATACCAAATATCAAATTCACGGAAACGACATTACTTTCCGGTCCTCCTAAAATCTAAGTAGTCTTACCTGTCTAATCTTTGAGTTATTTCTCCTGTCGGTGAAGTAATTTGGGTGAGCTGGACTAGAACTATGACTTCTCTGATACGAGTTTCTCCGTCTCCATTAAACAGCAAAAGTCTGTAATCTTGTAACACTCTGTATTTTAAATTTACTCTCAAGTTCTCCAATCGGACTACTAGACCCAAAGTTGTGCTTAAAAAAATAAAAACAAATCTGCAATTAATACTGCATAAATATGCTTATGAAAATTGAATTGTGCGTAAAAAAATTCTTTTTAAACATTTTAACGTCATAAATTTTATAATATCAATGTCATATATTTTGTAAATTTATGAAATTGTAGAAATGGCTCTGTAGAATTTTTTCTTCTGCAATTCCGCCAAAATTGGTTCATACGATCTTTCTTTCACATATGGAAAAAGGGACTAATATCTTCGCATCATAATGCGTCCAAGTAGGGAAAAGGTAAAGTTAAATCTACCGGAAAAGAACTCAGATAATGACCTATAGACATTAATATATGATTTCTGTACTATAATGAAGCACTTTCTTCATTGATGAATCAAAAAGTGAAACAGAAAAACACAGCGAGTTACAATAAAGAAAAAGAGGGGAGTCTATTCGATCTCGCTTGCAATACTCCTTTACTTCTGACCTAAATCTTTTGGGAATCATTTCCTCTATCAAAAAATTTTATTTAGTTCATAATTTCCCCACATCCTATATTTTCCAAATGTTTAGAAATCTATTTTTTTTAAATGCTCCCCCTAAAGCAAGTCCAACCACAATTTTTTTTCTCCTAACTTTTGAAGTTGACTTCGTTCGATCTTGTTAGTTTTCATGCCATATTGGCCAATACTTTTTCCTCGTCGTAACTCGTTTATTATTTCCTTTATATTTCTGCGTTTCTTTCTTTCATTCTATATTCTGTCACTTAAGAAGATCTTTCAGTGTAGTATCAAAACGATATTATGCCTGTTTATGTAACATTAATTGTACTCTTTTCGCGTTGTGATTTCACGCTGTGTCACATTCTTTTCGCATTATTCTTATACGTGTTTTGTTAATCTTTTCCATTTGTTTAACTTAATTCAACCAACTAATGTCACAGCAAAATGAAGATTATTTTCCCAATCGGAAAACCAGTATCACATTCTTTTAAAAATTATTCACAAAATCATTGTAAAATTTTCCTTCCGTCAACGTATATTTATAGCTAAGTAAATTAGGTATAAGAGGAATAAAAACTCTCTGTATATTGCAATAACATGTTGCAAAACTCTGTCCAAAATATATTGAAAAAACTAATGTTGCCGTATATCAACATATGTAATCGCAACCATATGAGGCTGAACTAAAATCATTTTCTCATAGTTTTAAAGATACTTACGTGGAATTTGTGCATTTTACGTAAGCATTCTTCCTTCTAGATAAATTTGAAACTCCGCGGATACCACCATTGTATATAAATACTGTCAACATGTCGTCTACCTTGACTGTGGTATTCGGAAATGCAATTGGCTCCTGTTTTAAAAATTAGAAAATATATTAAATACTTTAAAAACTAACTAAATTAAATCTCACAAAAGTTTTATTAAACAAACTCTATTCTTACCAGTTCTTAAAATTTACAAAAACTAAAACTAACTCAAAACCTAAGCTTGCTATTTAAATAAAACATTTTACATTAAATATCATTACTTCAATCGTTTTTTTTTTATTTAACAGTCTTACTAAATATAAAGTTAAATTCAATAGATTATACAACACAATATGAAATCAATCTAATCATTTATTCCTGCTAATTTTAACATTCTGTATATATAATTTTAATGATCCTTTTTGTGAGCCTATTAATTCGATTGGATTAAAATAATGCAATATTATATCAATCCAATTTTTATTAACTTCTACTAATGATAAAAGCTTCTCAAAAAATACAAATTTAATTTAAAGTACCGAGTAATAAAAGAAATTATGTTTAAAATCCTGAAAAAAAATTATAATTATTTATTTTCGTAAATGCTTTTTTCTTTTTTTTATCAATGCTTTTTATTCTATTTTATGAAATATATAAGTAAATATTTCTATGATCCTCAAACCTGGAACCGAATCAGACGCCTTCCAAAACGCAACAAAGTGTCAACATAATCATCCAAGCCTTCACCGTTTTCGCATGGAACTTGTCTCTTTCTACGTGGACTCCTACCGTCAATGGTAGAACCATCTGGTTTGGCTTCGGTAATAAATGGAGACGTATCTTCTGAAATAAAAAAAAATCATTCAGTTAAAAATTAAAATAAAAGCTGAGGGACAAAATAATTCATATTAGATTCTATTCCAAAATTAATCTGTAATGGTTGTTCTACATAGAAGTTTCATGGTAAAAAGCAACCTGCGAAGATATATCGCAAGCCGGGACATTTCTGACAGATTTTCCAAGTAGGATTTTTTGCATCTTTGCCATTTCTTGATTGAGTTTTCTCCTAACTGAACAGATTATATAGGACTCCGCATCTTGTCCTACATTATATGGAACTAATGCAATTTTTTAAAAATTTAGGGTGCAAAAAATCATAATTTTAAGGTCAGATAAATTTGGACAGTGAGTTTAATTTTCCCTGATTCATTATACAACGCAGTATTTCTATGAAGAATTTTATAATACATCTGAAGAGATGTATTGCAAACAAAAACAACTCTGCTTTGCTTAATTTATTTATTTATTTTGGCATTTTTGTAAATCTTTGCGCAAGTTGTTTTTCTAATTTGAGAGGTTTAATATATTCTCTATTTTACGGGGTTATTGTATCCTCTCAGAAACTTATGCTACGTCAAATATCATATTTTAAAAATTTTTACTAATTTACAGCACTCAAAATTGGTGCTAACTGCATGCTTAGGAAACAAAATTATAAAAGATTATCAGTAATGAGTATAGTTCTCTTGACTCAATCTTTAGAACTTCCATATATTGCAAAAAAAATGTTCATAATACACTCTCAAAATTATCTGTTGAACGATAATATCGGTATCATGAACTGTGATATGGTTCAAACTTGTTCAAATTGTAATAAAGTGACATATTGAACCATTTTCTCTTTTAAATTGAACCATAGTATAATGCTATAAAGTTTAAGATGTACATTTTATGGTTTAATAATCTATTATTTGGCAACAAGACAGAAATTTGGCAGTAACAATAAATTAAACTTAAAGTTTGTACTTCACCCTAACGACCATGAAAAGGAATGTACTCTGTTTCTATCTTTCCATTTCTTTCATTCTTTCTCTTTCTTCTTTTCTCTATCTAAATTTATCTCTATAGATTTCTCAGTATTCATTAATTGGAATAATTGAGCAAATATGAGAAAGTATTTTTAAGGGTCATTGTCATCTGATCTCTAATCATAGCCCACTTGTTCTTTAATCACATACTCTAACCACCATAGAACAAGCCCGTATATGCTCCATTTCAAGATAATTATAAAATCTTGGTTAGAAGAAGGCTACTTTGTATTTTGCCCAAACCTAAATTAAGGCAAAGTAGCTACCCGGATAGCTGCAAGATTAATCAGAAACTTATAAATGAACGTTAATATTAGAAAAAACTCTATTTTAATTCTTTAAATGATTTTAATGATTGTGAGACATTATTATTACATTTATTTCAATATAAAAATCATTTTAAAATACTTTTATAAATTAAAATTTTTTTAAAGTTTAATTTGTATGCATTTATTTATCACGAAATTCAATCCAGTTTTTTTAATTATTCCAGTTAAATGTCAGTCCTTCGGTAAAGTAAACTATATGAAGGTGCTATCATAATGCTATTTTGTGAAATAAAATGAAATGACCAAAAAACTCCAGTGAGGGGTTTTCTATATTTTGATCCATCATTTAGAAACGATCTCATTTTTTAATGATAATTAAGACTTTGAATAATGCATTACTTATTAATTAAAACCTAAATTGGGTTAAAAAAATAGTTTGAAAATTTATTTTTTCATTTCGTATTTATTTTGTCAAAATTTAATGAAAAATGTAAAGGAAAAACTACTCGTATTAGCAGTGTCAGAAATCTCATCCTTGAATAATAACGTTGGGTGCTATGAAAGCGAAGATATTCCAAAAGTATTCTACAGAACTACATTTGATAGTAAATCCTTTCTTTGACTCAAAACCCAGATCAAATTATAAACAATTTAAAATCTATTTTCGAAATGGTGCAAAATACTTAAGTTATCAGACTAGTGCAAAAAGATTATTTGGACAAAGTCTAGCTTTTAAAATTGAGTTTATTATAAATGCAAAATCCTTGTACTCTTCGCTTTCTAAAAATACTTTACTTTTGTTTGTACTTCAATTGCTTACAAAGTTTTAGCAGCTTTTGTGCAACGTGATAACAGTGGAAGACTAATGATTATGCGTCTATAAATGCGTTTATCTCTAAATCACACATTTTGCACCACCTTAAACAAGATATCTCATGTTGTTTTTAAAATAATTGTCTACAATTTTTCATGAATGTTTCTAATTATAGCATACATATATTGAACGACAGATTAAAAGAAAAAAGTAGAATTTAATTTTTTATGCACGTTTATTCGCAAAGACTAGTGCAGAAATTTTTAAAAATTTGCTTTTTAAACTACACTGATCCCTAACTCAGTAGTGTATTCACTTGCTTTTAAGATAATAGTTCAAAACATAGTTGATTACGTTTTTTTTTTAATAAATATTAATCTCAATGCACTCTTACCTTCTAGTAATTCAAAATCTGGATCAATAAGGGTTGATGTGAGATCCGGAGCTACAGGTGGATACATTTCAAACCAGGAACTTGGTTTAGAACGTCCCATGACGTGAGCAATGGCCTGCTCTAACCCTTCTTCCGCTAGTTTTTGTACTTTTTCGACTACAGCAGCACTGACTGCCTGCAGGAGCTCTGTCGCTTGTTGCAAGGCTCCTTCGTTTTTCTTCAAGAAGGACGTGAAAGCATGCGTTGCCGAATTCCAATATGTCCTAAATGCAGCTTGACTCAATGATAGTATGGCGTTACCTGAAAATAAAGTTGTAATTATTCTTCTTTAAAGTAAATAGAGGAACGAATAACTCTAAGAGTGCAACTACGTTGAACTATATGTCTGTCCAAGATGAACAACAAAATTGTGCTTATAGAAAAAATTCTGGTAAAATTATCATGCTGTATCGTAATGACATTTGTGTTGAAAAACAACATAATTCTGGTTAAAACATACTGCAAATCTCTCCATTCGGTATTTCTCCCCGTTTATGTGATACCGGTTTACCGGAAATGGAAATCCTTGTTTCAAAATTACAGTTCTTATTACCTACCACATATTTAGCAAAAAATACTGAACTAAAAAATAAATTTAACCAAATAAATAGTTTTTATGACAAGCTCTAAGGTATCATGATAAAATTACAACAACTCTACATATTGTTGTTAATTTTACCAACGTAATACTAAAGCGCTTCGGGATAAATTACGGAGCTTCTTCGTTTTCCTATAGAGCCAGAAACACCGTCATTCTTACCATATTCTTATAGTTTTGACTATGATTTTTTTCTCAATATGTAATCAAGTTTCAGAATACGATATACCTCATCAAGGAAGCCGTGATGGCTCAGGGGATAAAGCATTCCCTTTCCAATGAGATGAACCAGGTTCGAATCCCAGCGATGGCTGGTCGATATGAATTGCGCATCCGGCTTGCCCCGACCTCAGTGTTAACGTAAAATATCCTCAGTGGTTGATGGATCATGGGTTAGAGTTCCCTTGCCGTCCGGCTAACCGTGAGAGCTTTTCATGATTTTCCTATCCATCTAACGCAAATCCAGATTAGTTCCATTAAAAAGTCCTCCACGAAGGTAAATTTCTCACAGTATTTGATCCAGGAGTTTCCTTGTCTTCTGGGCTGGATTCAGAATTACAGGGTTAAGACGCTGAACATTAATAGTTGTAAACCCGAAAATTTTGGGTTAAATGATGGATTTAAAATACAAAAAAATCAGCATTGAGGGTGAATCAAGTTTCAACTATATAGGGCCAAACGTGGCTCCATTACCTCCAACAGTGTAGGATCCAAAATTACTCAGTTAAACTTTTTTGGTGCTTTGGTGTTCATTTTTTCTGCAATATTCCTTTGAAATACACCACTTCCTTTTTGAACCGTGTTGTATGAATTTTGAAATGATGGTCATTTTAACATTTAAATCTGTATTTATAAAAAAAATTATCAACACGAAACAAATAACAAAAATATGACGCTGATATGCGTCTTTAAAAAAAATTACAAATTTTTGAGTCAATCATTTTGAAAGATGTTTTTATATTTAACCAATCATTTTTTTCTGCACTCTCAGCATCTTTATACATTTAATTTTCACGTGTATTTTATACATTTTTAAATTTGGCACAAGGAAATTTAATGTGTAAAGAGTATCTTTTCATTTTTTGTTCGTTTTATTCTTTCAATTTTCAATAATAAAAAGTTTGGGTTCAACTCTAGAAAAATACGGTGTAAATAGGTCGGTACAATTTAGTAAATAAAGAATATCTGTATGAGAAAAAGTATTACATTTCCTATATTTGTAAAACCACATAAACAAGAAAATTTTTAAAAAAAATTTAAAGCATATTACATCGCAAAAAAATTCTAATATCTAAGAAATTTATTTTTAAATATATATTAACAAAACATATATCTCTTACTTACATGATCTCTATTTATTCGACATAAAATAAAATATGACAGAGATTTTTTTACGCCTTATTTGTTATGTCATTACAATCATTTCTTTTAGCTCCCTCTCAATGGGTTAGACCACCCATAAATAGAAAGGATTGATCCAGTTTTTCTCTTAAATATTGCTAATAAAATAAGTATTTTATGATTGAAGTGAAAAATAATGATTTAAAAAGATTGACAAACATTATGAGCTATCAAATTATATCAACTTGGAAATTTTACTACGTTTCAAAAAAATGGAAAAATACTTTTTATAAAAAATGTTTTAAACCTCTCTTATTTTTTATACTTCTCTGAAAATATTATCTGACTACTTATTACGATCTCGTAGGAAAATTATTTCTCAGCAATCCCTCCTAACGCACAAAAATACTTAGCAATTCAAAAAACGAGAACTCCTTAATCAAAACAATTATTTAGTAAATATTTAGGGAATACGAGATAAATTGCTGAAATATATATGATTTTTTTTTAAATACGTGACTTTTGCACTTTAATAAGTTTCTGAACTAAACAAAATAAAATACAATTGTCTTTAGAACTTTTCAAGGAGTCAAAATCATATTTGCCTCGTTTTATACAATCTTATATTTTTTTTATTCGTGCTGTTTACTATTCTCTTCAGGTTGTATTTAACTTATACAAAATATAATGCATTTAAATAGCTTAAGTTTTGTAAGTAAAGAGTACTGAACACATTGTTTACTCAATATAGTCATTTCTAAGTGCTGTAGTGGCAATTACTTCGAATTATTTTTCTTTGCCAAAAGCGTTTTTTTTTAATTCAATAAAAAAACATTTAAAAATTAAAAAAAAGGAAAATGTTTAAAGTTAATATGAAAAACAAAATAGAAATGGTACTACTGGGTACTATACAACTATTTATAGTCCTTCGACATATTTAAGTCGAACGGGGGGGGAGGGAATAATGATTAATGATTTTCATTCAATGTTGTTTTCCATTGTTCCATACTGGGTGTATCAAAAATGACCAAATATTTAAAAACCCAATGACAGAAAAACGAAAAGGGATAGAAATGTACTGTTTACGGTGTTACCTTAGGTGGCTAGTTTTTCAGTTTACAAAATTTCAAAATTAATTGCCAAGTTTCTCAAGAGATGGCGCTGTTAATTGAAAAACTATAAAACGAGTATCAATAACATGACACAATTTGAGAACAATATAAACCGAAACCCGTGCAAGTATTTCAGCTGGAACTGACAAGGGAAACTAGGGAAGTGTGACTCGCCAATTTTGAAATAAACTAGTGGGATGTATGCCTTATTATATTTTTATTATATAATACTTATAATTTTCGGGGGCAACATTCGTTTCGGCCCATAGAAGGTCCTGTGAGAGATAAAAAATAATTCAATAAATAGAAAAATCGATATTTTATTACTTCAATGCAGACTATTAGTTATTGCAATTGTCTCATACTCCAATTAATTTGTATGGTTAATTAATTAATTTTCTAATTAACAAATCAATTAGCAAATTAATTAATTATTAATTAAATATTAATTAATCAATTATTAATTAATTGATTGATTTGCAATTACATACTCCAATTAATTTGGTATATTTTTGGAAAAAAAAAGTAAAAAAATTTGATGTCAATTTTTTTTTAATTAACCTAACAGGTTTTTCTGAAAAACTACAGATATATAAAATTTTCAAAATCAATTTTGAGAATAAATATGCATTATATAGTAGGGGAGAGTTGGATAAAGCGGGATAGTCGGACAAAACGGGATACGTCGCCTTGGGACCAGACTATTGCAGCTATCTTGTGGGCAACGACAGAAACGTGTTATTCGACCGTGATTATATCATTCTCGGTGCGTCCCGCCTCGAGATCACTATTTGATAGAAAGTTATAAGTCTCAGAACTTTTTTACTCTATTTTTTAGCCATTTTCTATATTTACGTGCGTTGTTTTTTACATTGTACTGCCTACACATATGGGAATAAAATTCCGGTGAGTATTAAATTTAATTAATCATTTATTTACCAATATTTTGATGTGCAGTCTATCTAATTTTTTTTTCATATTTAGGCAGCAGCCATGTTTGTTTCAAAAAGTGTCGGAGTCGGACAAAACGGGACACTTGTGAGTTGGATAAAACGGGATAGAGTTTTTTATGTCCCGTTTTATCCACCTATTTATTTGTTGGATTATTACCTTTTAAAATAGCCATATATTAATGTAGGCCTAGGCTTTTTAAACAACTTATTTATATTAGCTATATATATTTTTGAAAAATTTAGTCTTTTTATATAGTAATGCAAAATTTGTTTATTAACGTTCATTATTAAGCATTTAATTTTCGACTCTAGGATTTCACATCTTTCTTTAGAACTAATTGTAATGTATTTCTCTGATGAAGACTTGAGCTTTTTTATGTATAAACAATATTATTAATATATTCGCATTATTTATAATTTTATATTTATATATATGCAAAAATTTAAACATTGTAAACCCTATCCCGTTTTATCCAACCCAGGTATGCTAAAACGGGATATGTAAGAGTTTGGAAATTAATTTTTTTTTCTATTTCACAGTCAGTAAAATTAGTTTAAAATATGTTTTTTGTGTACTTCGATAAATGTTGTAGCTACAAAAAAAATAATGTATGGTTTTCCTGAACAGATATTCCGTAGTAAATATAAACAATAATGGTATCCCGTTTTATCCAACTCTCCCCTACGTGAAAGTAAGTACCACAAAATTATTGGAGTATGAGATAATTACAATAACTAATAGTCTGCATTGAAGTAATAAAATACCGATTTTTCTATATATTGAATTATTTTTTATCTCTCACAGGACCTTCTATGGGCCGAAACGAATGTTGCCCCCGAAAATTATTCCTCATAAGGCATACATCCCACTTGTTTATTTTAAGATTGGCGAGTCACACTTCCCTAGTTTCCCTTGTGAGTGATAACTTAACTGAGTTCAGCTGGAACTGAGTGAAAACATAAATAGTTTTGTCCCGTTAACAGCGACATCCATTGAAGAGCTTTGCAACTAAATTTAAAAGCTTTATATACGCCAAAATGATTTCTAAAATAAACCTAAATGATTCCAAAATGACCTTCCAGGAATGAACGGCTTCATGCAGCAAACCGTTCATTTATATCTCCTTCCATTTTTCTTTAATACGCTTTTCAAATCATTAGTCATTTTTTGGACATCCAGTCTATTTTCCCTCATAAAGAAAAAGAATTTGAGAATACCTACCAGAATGAGATGCATCCTTCAGTTCAATTCTTCCAATCCAAGTTGCTACTGCATCGTTTACTTTGGCTTCATATATACCTTCATCCACTAAAGACTGAGAGAAGGGTGGATTGAGGAAACCCTTCAGTTTATAGCTGGCCATCACTTTGACTTCTGGGAATCTCAAAAGAACAGATGTTCTTAAAATATCCAGATTAGTTACGATGTCCCGTAGTTGAAAATTTCCGAGTCCCTCCACTGAGATCTGAGTGGATAAAGGTAACACAAAGATAACATTACTATGGTAAATCAATAAATTCATATACAATGTGTTCTGTAAAAACCACCCTTAATACGTATTTCTTAGCTCGCTGATCAAAATTACAATTATACATAACCGGGTTCGCTAATGAATATTTTAATGAAGAAGGAACAAAAACGCGATCGAAATCATATATAATACGATCATTCGATGAAAAGATATTGAGGTGTTTTTTTATTTTATTTTTATTTTAAACACTCTGCAGAACGTTTCGTAAGGAATAGTTATCAAAAATGAAGAAAAAAAGCACACATTCTGTAAATTGTAAATTATTATTAAAGAAGGGAAAAAGCAAAAACGCTACTGAAATCTGACGAATGACAGTTAAGGAAGGCGTGTGTACGTAACACCAAAACCTACTTTATTGAGGGATGAAACAATGAAGAGTCAAAAAAATGTAACTAGAAACACCTTCTCATTTCAACCTGCAACCAAAGAGTTTTAATATTTTCTATACCAGCCTTCTTTAATCGTGATTTGTCTGATTTCAGTAGAGCTTTCGATGTTTGCTCTCTTAATCATTGTTTTGCAATGTTTGATGGGTTACTATTTTTTCATTTTGTAAGGGGTCTGAAAATATATATTAGCTGGTCCATAGTAATAAAAAATATATATA